CTCTCTCTCTCTCTCTCTCTCTCTCTCTCTCTCTCTCTCTATCTATCTATCTATCTATCTATCTATCTATCTATCTATCTATCTATCTATTTATCTATCTATCTGTCTATCTATCTATCTATTCTATCCATTTATCTATCTATCTATCTGTCTGTCCATCTATCTATCTATCTATCTATCTATCTATCTATCTATCTATCTATCTATCTCATGTGTCAATCGAATATGCCAATCACATCTATGTTGATTGATGTAATTCATCTGGTTCCACAAGAATTTGAACTTGGGTATTTCAACAGTTCATGGTGTACCAACAGAGCTAGGCCAACTGGTTCCCTGCGCAAATTTCTATCAGATTGAGGCCAGGGGGGAAAGAAAGAAACGTCAAAGAGGATTGGATTAAGCGGCTGCATCCGGATGTACATTACGCAGAGATGCAGAAAAGCAGATCAATTGTGATTTTTTCTGTGTCTCCCCATGAGCACGTCCAGATCGGGCGCTTAGCTTTTTTTTCCTTGTCTGTTTTCAAGAAAATATTATGCAGGTCCTATTAGGGAGAGTGATAGGAGCAGCCCCTCCTAATAGAACCTCGTCAGGTCACTCCATCTATTGGTGGGGAGCTTCACCTGCAGGAAACCGGGTCCAGCGTCCCTCAATGCAGAACGAAGATCAATAATGAAATTTTCGATCTCATCGTGGGATGAACCAGTGCCTCGTCACCCATTCCTGGGCGCCCGATAGGTAATATGCCACCCTAGCTCTGATTCACCCGCTCAGCAAGCTTTCTTATTCTCAGCAGTTCTTTTCCTGTTCCTGGGACTTTGTCAGAATCCTTTGTAAAGGGACGCTGGACCCGTTTTCCGGCAGGTGTAGCTCCCCACCAATAGATGGAGCAGCCGAAGGAACCTACTAGGGGAGGCTGCTCATATCCTATCCCCTTCCACCCCCACCCCGGCCCACAAGTAAAGACCACCGCTTTTTTTCCAAAAAAAAAAAAAAAAAAAAAAAAAAAAAAAAAAAAAAAAAAACAAACAAACAAACAAACAGAAGAGAGCTCTGATTCACCCAATTTCTATGCATACCATTGATACCTATACACCAAACTATACCTCACTTACTCATATCCAAAGCAAGACCTAGGAACTAAACTCATTGAGGAGGGGGGGGGAAGGATCGGGGGGGTCCAAAAAGGCATCCAAGGGAATGGCTGGGTCTACTGTTGTCCAATACCCAAAATTCCCAAATATCAAACAATATCCCTACATAACTCTGTGTGGTCCCCTCTCTGAGCCCCTTCCGACTTTACCCATCCCAATTTCCGCCCCTGGTTTCCCCCAAGCCAGCAACGACGAAGTTTCCCCCAAGCCAGCAACGACGAAGTTATGGGTATGGTTGAGGATTTCAGCACGGGAAGATAAATGTCAAATTCTCGCTCTTGTTGGTTCCCATTTCGTTGAAATGTCTGTTTGAATTTGTTGCTTGATGAAATTTGTAAATTCTGGTCTATCTGACCTTGGCCCTTCCATTTCATAAGTACATGGTCTCAGCCCGATTGCCCAACGGACACAACTCTTCGCCCCGCTATGGACGTTCTGGGTGAACTCATCGAAGGGATGGGGAGCCCACAACTCTAATAAGATAGCCCTCCAGTCCCATGGCCAAGGGTTTGGGGGACCCAAGTGACTCCAGATTCCGTCCCGCCATCTCCAGAGCCAAATGGCCCCAAGGCATTCCAGAACCATGTGCGTATCGAGTAAAATGTATATATTCAAACTTATGTATTCATTGTATTTTATTATTTTCTAGAATTGAATTCATATTCTATTTATATTTATCTATATCTATTCTCTATATTTCACTTTATTCTTTCAGGGATTGTCCTAGCTGGGAAGGCTGTCTTGCAGAATTTACGCCAGGGAAATGCAATACCTTTTTGCTCTAACGTGGACCTATCAATCAACCAATCATTTGTAGGGAGACGACGATGTTGAGTTTGCCAGTGAAGTGAACCCACCTTCGCTGGCTTTGATTTCATAATATAGAACCATTTGATTGGCCTTGCATCTTCCTTCCTTATATTGAAATGCTTTGTCCATTTGGCCACTCCTTTTATCTTTTAGCCGAAGCATTTTACATGTCGAGGTATGAAGAGTCCAAGTCTATGTTCTACGTCTACCCCCGATGTATGTTCTACGTCTGCCCCCTGATGTAGTACATACCCAATTATCTGGTCAAAATGCCTGTCATGTGCATTTCTGCTGTCATTGAATAGAAGTAAACACTTGTATCTGGATGTGTTTTATGCACGAGTGCAGAAATCGAGATGAAGCCAAAGTTTTTGCCCCTTCGAAAAAACATCTGAATCTTTTCACAAACACGTTGTGATTCAAGTATTGAATCCAGTCGTCGCTGCTACTGGGGCGAACCCGATGTGGCCCTTTTTTTCTTTGTTTTTTGTCTTACTCCTTTTGAATAAATGATTCCCATTCACCCCCGTCCCACCCCTCCACCGTCCCAAAATCTTTATCTTCTTCCCTAAAAGTGCCCTCTCCTCCATGGCAAAAAAAGAAGGTTATCATTGTAGTGATTAATCTTTCTCTAGTTAGGGAGCCTATGGCCTTTTCTTTTTTTGGAGTATATTAGATTGTTTTGGCTTTGAGAGATCGATCATCAAAAGCTCCGTTAAAAAAAAAAAAATCATAATGGTTTCTAGTCCACTAACAATTTGTTTTTATTCTGTTGATTCCTTTCCATATAGGAAACTTCTTTCTTTTCCTAATTCATATTTGTTTATGCTACTCGCTATTAGTTTAGTTTTGTTTTTATTTGATTTTGTCACCACGAATGAAGGTCATTTAGTACCCAATGCTTGGTAATCTTCTGTTGAAATGATTTAGTACCCAACTTAGTCAATTAACAAATAGGTTGTGTGCCAGCAGCTAAACAACGATTTTTTCCTTCCACCTTCGTCATATTTACTTCTTTGTTATTTTGTAATCTTATTGGCGTGATTCATTGTAGTTTTACAGTGGCAAGTTATTTTGCTCATCGCCCGTGGCAGACCGCACCCTTCCTGCCCCTCAAATATATTTGATGCACTACTTCTTTCCTATTTTGTTCACCTTTTCATTGGAGTGTCTCTGCTCAGTTAATTCTTATTTTTTCCACTTGTCGTGGTGAGATCCTCCTACGTGATTGAAATTGTTATATTTTGTACCCCAACTTTTTTATCGTACCTTCTCCGACAGTCTGGCAGATGTTCCGTTGCGGCACAGCAGGTCAACATCACCATTGTTGCCCTAATTTGCGTCCTTTTCATCTCTTTCACACAACCGAAGAGGACTACGCCATGTAGTGAGTTATCGAGCTTTTCAAAAAGTATGCCCGGGAACCAAAAAAAAAAACTTCTAATGTGTAGTTTCAATTTTAATAGATGCTTCGCAGGACTGAAAATTACAATTTGCCCCTACTGGTTCTTAGAATGCTGCAAATAAGCCGCACTCTAGGACACGGGGGGGGGGGCAAAAAGATTCAAGGGCTTGTTACTTGAGGTGCGGATTGAAAGTGAACGAATCTTTGCGAGGCATTTGCATGGTCTATGGACCCTACTGCACGCTTGGTTTTCATGTATTAAGGGTTTTTTTTTTTTTTTTTTTTTTTTTAACGGGCCTTGTGCCCAAGGCTGA